GTCCTTGGACCCTTAGGGCAAGCATCTCACAGACCCTCCAAAAGTTGTGCGCTGTGGCTTCCGCTCGGGGACTCCACCTTTTTGCAGGGATTCGGGATGGAGCTAAGTATCAAGCTGATCCCATGTACTTTAGGCTACTGCAAAATGAGGATGTAAAAGCTGGCAACTCTTACTGGGTGCTAATCGTCTTGACAAGGGAACTGCCTGTTGCTGTTAAGACGGAAACATCAAGGAGCTATCTTTAATGGCGTATTCACTCAAAGTCAAGAATAGTGGACCCCCCCCCACCCTAAGAGTCAACAACTCTGAATTTCAGTGCGCGTCTACGCTTTACTTTTTGCAATCCACAGTCCCCCAGTGAGGCTGATGGTTGCAGAGGACCTGGCCCGAGAGGCAGTGAAAGCAGATGTGCCGATCAAGGCCGGGCGCTGCCTGTGACTGACCGGGGCTTACAGCGGTTTGGGAAGATGTAGGTAGTAGTAAAAGATGTAGAAGGTTTTGTGCAGGGAAAACTTGAAAATCTTTTTGGGAATTCAGTTTCCGCTCTCCTGCTACAGCTTCCGTGGTCAAGATAGTGCATGGTGTTGGAAGCGTGTGCTTTAGGGCCTCAATTCTCGGAAAAGAGGATGGTGGTGGTGGTGGTGGTGNNGGCGGCGGCGGTGGTGGCAGTGGTGGCAGCATGTAATTGTCTTAGCAATGGTATGGATGTGGAGCAGGAGGAGGAGGTGGTGGTGGAGGTCAGAGGTGAGGGCGGCGGCAGCGGCGGCGGCGGCGCCGCCGCCGCCGCTGCTGCTGCTGCTTTTGCCGATGTTTGTGCAGCAGGTGCAGCAGTAGCAGCAGCAGCTCTGGCGGTGCTGGTCCAACAGTATTTCCAACGAAACCATATGTAATCATAGCAGATTTTCTCAAAAGCCGCATTCTAACTACTTGAGCTCTACACGAATCTCCCTGAAGAAGGCGACACCAAGTTACAGTCGTACAGCTACCCCTCTCTACTACACTTGTCCTGCGCAAATTGCTTTTGCAAGAAATGGGGTGGGCTGAAGGTGAATTCTTTGAAAAGAAACAGAGCGCTTTTAGAAATGCACCTTAAGCGCAATGATGATGATGATGATGATGACGATGATCTTCACTGGTATGCAGGCGGACAGGAGATCTGCAAGCCGGCTTGCACCAAGTTGCACCATGATCATGGGGGGGGGGCTTCCGTGTGCCGGAGGTGGCACGACGGCCGCGGCGGCGGCGGCGGCGGCTGTGGAGGTGGTAGGGTAGAAGAGGAGAATGAGGAGGAGGAATACCCTACGGCTGGAAAAGAGCAATGAAGATTCAGCTAAGCGCGCTTCAGGCAAAGACACTCCGATAATTTCAAGAATCATTGACGCAAAACTTATTCCTCAAACTATTGAAAATCCCGAACCAGCGAGCCTGGCTTTCCAAACTCGGCCCAGGAAGTTGCCAAGTGGCTCGGCAACTTGGCCGGTTGCGAGATGAGTGCATCTTTTTCCCAATAGAAAGTTAGTTTGGCAGCTGTTGCAAGGCGAAGCTGACACTGTGAAGAGTAGGATCTTGCTAGGTTTACCACCACCATGACATGACTTGCTCAGGCTTACGGAGTTCCATGCGCAGTGTTGTGATCGTGTTCTGCTCACGTAAGTCAGAGTCTGAGGTGTGGAAACCGTTGGAGCTGCCAAGAAGATAATCATGGATGTCGCTGAGAATTCTTGCTCAGCAATGCATGATGAGCTGCTGGTGGGGCCCAATGCAGCTTGGACGGAATGATCCCAAAGGAAGCAGGAGAGCCAATGAGCGATAGGCAGCTAGAGGCAGAAGTGAATTCATTGGATTTCCTTGCCTCTCTCCGCAACTTTCATACATGGCTGCTGCCATTCAGGGCTGCTGAGGCAAGCAGGTCTGATAATCTTGCAGGGTTTTGCATCCTAGGCCTGGGGCTTGTCCACCTGTCGCTCAGGCGACTGTGAATGGAATGGTTGCAAACTGGCTCGGCAAGCACCATGCGAGCTACTACCTGGAGCAGGCCACACCTGACCTCAGCCTGAAAGTCCTAAAGTCTCTGCATGACTTCTTCGTGGCACCCGCCAAGCCTTGCACGTGCAGGTGAGGAACAGGAACTTGAACATCACATGGCAGGCAATGCCGTTGCGCCAACGACAGTGCATGTGCAATTCCGCTACAAAGTGTGTACAAGGATGTTTGCATCTAAAACTGTTCAGCCACGCGCTGCTCGGTTCTGACTAGAAAGCAGTTGATCCCACGAGAAGTGTTGGTCCCTGCGGTGCAGGCGAAGATGTACAGCTGCCATGGCTGCGTTCGCTGCATGACGCTGTATTATTTCACGGACATCCAGACTCTCGGCGCATTGTCACCGAACCCTGCGTTTTGCAGCATCATGCCTGATGCGGCTCGGTTGCAGTGCTAATTTCCGAGGAATGTCGTGGAGCTGATTGAGATATTTTTGCTCATTGCATCTTGGCAAACGAATGTTGGGGTCTGAAGTACGGCAGTACGTGCTGGTGTGATGCCGTGCCTCATTTGAGTTCCCGACATACCGCATGAACCATTCTAGCTAGCTGGCTACTTAGATCGCCAGCTACTTCAGTGCTCTTCTGGCTTCCATGATGGGGAACGCCCTGGAGCAACTGGGACCTCAATCTACCATGCAGGCCTTTCAGGGTGTCGAGCCTGGGGCAACAAGGTCAAGGGCCCGACGCTCGCAAATTCTTTCCGGCAAAGCCCTCCATAAGGACCTCCTTGATTCCTTTAGGACCCTCATATGCGCAGTATATATAGAGTAAGATTATATTCTGCTTTTGGGGTATAGTATTTTGTATAAGGAATCACTAGGTTCAACCGCCAAAAAAACACTACTCATATGAGTTTAGGGTTTAGCGTTTAGAGCTGCGGACTAAAGTCAGGTTGAGGGGGACCTAGACGGGATGTACAGGGCCTTTAGGGGGGACCTTTAAAGAAATGTACTATAACTTCAGTAACTTAGTCCAGGGCTCAATGTCTCTAGGGTCCATAGATGCCCCCTTGGCAAGAACCCCACTTTCGCTCCCCCCTACCTTGTATCTCGCATACTTGCGCAACTGAGGGTTAAGGGCTTAGGATACCCCCCTATGTGGACTTCCACCATGTGTCCGAGGAACTGTCCGATGATCGACGTCCACTTCGAGGCTTGTTTCTGCGCTGCTGTTGTCTCGACCTGCCTACTTTCAATCGTTGCAAGAACTGATGGTAGTTCTATCCCGTGGCTTCGACAATCTCCGCCAATTTGACTCCTAACCATGCATTCTGAGTATCTATCTGGCGGACAACCTCGATGCCAGGCAGATCCCACGCAGCGAAAGTCTGTGGACTTACATCAGACGGAAGTCTCCTGCCTCGGCATGAACCTTGCTGGCCTCAGCCTTCGCGCCGTTTTTTTTTCTTCTCCTTTCTGGGCATGTACACGTGTAGACCGTGCAACATTGGGCAACCTAGTGTTTGGAGCTTTTGGGTGTGTGCCTTGCCTAAGATGAATGCCACAGTCTCTTGGAAACCAGGATTGGTAGAACATTCTTCTTCCGCTACCACTACTGCGGCGTTCCCAAGCACATGCAATATCAGGAGGAGGCACGGCAGAAAATACAATGAAATAAAAAAAGGCAAGTAGTTTCCATGTTCCTTTCCATCTCTTTTATTGCCCCGTCATGCTCCATATACCCCTATTATACCCCTGTTATACCCCTATGTAGCCCCGGGGCTGGGCCTGGTCTTCCTTTGTGCACACGGCCTTGGACTGAACATCTCCCTTGGAAGAGCCATGTAGGGATGTAATAGGGATATATGAGGATGCAAAAGAACACTGGAAAATAAATTGGAGACTACTATATTACAGTAGGGGTCATATAGCAACTAGGTAGTGTTATTATAGGGGTCATAGGGAATAATGGAAACAATATGGAAACTACTATTTAGGCTTTGGGGTTTAGGCTTTAGGTAGGGGTTGTATATGAATATTGGAAACTGGAAAGTACTAAATCAGTACCCTAAACCCTAAACCCTGGAAAGTACTAAATCAGTACCATAACGGTGGTCGCTTCTCTGCTTTGGCTGGGCGCAGGGCATTCGGAAGCAGGTGCAGAAGGGGCTGCTGCCAAGCTGCACTTAGATATGAGGGTTTCCTAAAATTAGGGGTACTATTTTGGGGGTCCCCATAATAAGGACTATAGTATTTTAGGGTCTATATGGGGGTTCCCTTATTTGGGGGAACTACCATATGAGCTACAACCTGAAAACCCTAAACCCTAAACTCAAATAATGCAGAATCAAATGGAAAAGAACATGCAAAATGACATGGGAAGTAGGGTTATATCTGCGTTCTATGGGGCTTTATCCTCCCCACCCCACCGAATATTCAATAAAGGCAGGGATCTTGATGCCCAGAATATGAGCTATAGCCTACACTCATAGTATTCCCCTGAATAACTACTATAGAAGTCCCCGAATAGAATCCCTGATACAACCACCTTTGAGGAGTTTAGACTTCAGCTCATATGCCAGGTCCGATCCAAAACAAGTGATCTGACAGGAACATTCTCGACTTTCGTAGCACCTGTGCCGAAGTGTCATCATAAGACGGCTTGAGTTTCCGGCAGCAAGACTCACATGGGAACTGGATTCATGGCCCTCACATGCGCGCATCGCAACATGTGGCAACGCTCTTTAGTGGGGAAGGCAGTGTGAATCAGCCCAGGCTGGACACCAAAAAGCTTCCTGATCCGTTTCAGCCAACTGACTGCAAAGAGGGATCCCTGTAGATCACAGTCCTCTGTACCTGCATGTGGACTGATGTGGACCGATTAGTTTTCCAATGAATCTCTGGCTTCTTGTTTTGATTTGGTCGTGAGCTTCGAGCAAAGGTTTGTTGACAATGCGAAGACTTGGGATCAGTACAATCTCTTTGACGTCAATGCAGACTCCTGGCAGGGACCAAGACCTCTCCGCAATTCAGAGTCCCCCCCCCCCTCCCACTTGTGAGTTTGTGCGTGGGACGTGATGACTGCGTGAGTTTACCAAGAATGTTGGACGACGTTCCCGCTTCAGTCTCAGAAGCTGCTACCATTTCACCTGACTCATTGCAGCCAAGACTCGGCGATTCAACGTCCACCGGGAGCTGCTAGGCTTTCTGGAGGGCGAGGAGGCCTTCGCTGCCTTCGCGGCGAGACTCTCATGTGAGTGGTATTTTATGTGGGGATACCATGATACCCATTATGGAGTAAGATTCTATCCTCCTTTTGGGGTATAGTATTTTATATAAGGAACATTATCTTACTAGGTTCAACCACCAAAAAAACACTACTCATGTGCATCTTTTGGGGAAGCTAGGAGGTCAACTGATGTTTGCATGGTCTGGTGGCATAGCTTAGTGTAGTTCATCCTGTTCCTGTCGTGTACTTGGCGTCAATATGGTAGTTTCCCAGATTAAGGGAACCCTAATTTATAATCCTTATTATGGGACCCCCCAAAAGGTACCCCTAATTATGGGAAACCCCCATATTTCTTACAGTTTTTGGACATGTGCGGCATGGGATAGGTGATCAATGCTTGGACAGTTCCACCGCGACTGACACGATCCTGGCCCGGAGTGGCAACCTTTCTGTCTGACAGTCCTGCTGATTGAGTTGAGCTGCTTTGTGTATATTATAGGGTTATATAAGGGGGGTATATAGGGGATAATGGACCAGGAAATGGAAACTACTATGTTATAGGGATTGAGTCTTTTCATCGCTGAGCTCTCTGATTTACCACAGTGTGGCCTGCACAAGGAAATCAGAAGATTATCATAGCTTGCGGCATCATCTTCTTCATCTTGGGACCGATTATCACTGCCACTCCAGACGCAAGAAGTTCCCCATCCAAGGATTCCAATAGCAAGTCTCGAGTGCCGTTTCGAAGCTTCTTCCCAAAAATGGCTGTCGACGGAGACGGTTTAGAGTTCTGAACCGGAAACGCCTGCAATGAGGCTTTGAGAAAAGGAAGGATGCAGTGCGCCGGCGAAGCACTCCTGGGCACCATCTTTTGCTGGAAGTACGTACCTAATCTGCAGCCTTCAGCGGGGCGGAACTCCCCATGCTGTGTGAAGCCTTTTGCTCAGATTGAATTCTTCGTCCTCAAGCGACGACCGCAAGCAGGGATCGTGTGACTTGATCTTGACTTCATTCTTTGATTCAGCTGCTTTCGCAGTGCACCTACCGTTGCAGCAGCTTGGAGCTGGAGGTTAACAACGCGCCGAATATTTCAAGTGACGAAGACACCCCGTTTTTTTGGGCTCATGGGGCCGCTTGGAGATGATTTCGTCATTCTGATTGTTCATGAGTGCTCAGAGGTTGGATTGCTTTGACAATTTGGTTTGGAGAGCGGCTGCCTAGGTCTTGCAGGTGAAACGACCACACAAAGAGTTGATGCGTCCAAAGAACAAACTATAATAGTAGTTTCCATTTTATTTTCCATTATCTATATAACCCCTACATAACCCCTATATGTTTGGACGGAGGATTCGTTCCGCTTAGGTACACTGAGCCCCTCATCAAGCTTGACGTGCTGGCGCCTATGAAAGCAGTCAATCGTTCTGTTGCTTAACACTTAGCAACATCTTGCAGCCTGTGGCAGACTTAGGTGCACAACTGTGGAATCTTCTACGGTCAGCTTCAAATGGAGTCCGCAGAACCTTGCCCGTGCTTAGTTTTCACATGAGCAGTACGTGAGCTGCCTGCGCTGCAAGTCTGCATCAGAAACCCGATTGCTGCGGCCCCACTGGCGCAATCTTGCAACCCTACAGTCCAACTGAGGTGCCTTTTTTCCGAAGCTTGACTGATTAGGTTCCATTAAACGTATGCAACATTCATGCCACGCAGGGTACTCTGCGTTAATGTAGGAAAGAGAGTGCATGTCTATAGCCACAGCCTGATAATCATAGTGCCCTCATTCCACATGACTATTTGCTGCTGGTTCGTATAGAGCAGTCAAAGCGAGGCTTTTGCTGAGTAAAGGGATGCGATGCTTTTTGTGCTGAGCATTCAGTGGCCAGTCAACATCTCGCAGCTGAGGCAAGGTCATCTGTGCACTCTTGAAGATGCCGCCAAGCCGCCAGGGACAAGTTCTCGCACAGGGCCCTGTGGGCATTTTCAAGACGCTCAGCTGCCACTCATTTTTTCCATGTGTTCAACACGACCACCAGAAACTTGAGAAGAGTGTTGCGTAGTTCTCTCTACGGATTTGGCATTGGGGTCTGCGGGCGCGCTGCTGAAGCTGCATCCAGGATGTGGCGAGAGCGCGGGGACACCTACAACGTCATGAACTACATCTCGCAGGCCGGCATCCATGATGCCTCGCTGTCATTGATTGCCCCCAGACAAGCTATGCTAATCCTTGGATCTTTCCCAGGTGTGCTACCTCACGCCCCTAGCCTCCTTGAATCCAAGGACTGGGCTTGATCCTTGAGCTTGCAGATTCATACTGCTCAAAGTTGAAAGCCATTATCCAGGCTAGAAGCTCTGCCTTGCAGGATGGGCAAGGCCCTTATGTATAACGAGAAAGTCGCGGGTGAGCTTGAGCCCGAAGACCCTCCAGGCAGGGGCTGTCACCAAGAATTCTTAGATTATACATGGGGTTTGGTATTCTCAGGACGAACGGGTTTCTGGAGATCTTAGGAAGATAGCGGGTAACTCGGGATGCAAGGATGAACCTGAGAAACTCCTAAACGAATTGGCTTGCCTGAGGGTGCTCCTTTGCGTCCTTTGCATGCCTAGGTTCCAAAGCGTGCTGCCCGCACACACCGCCACCACCTATGATGGGCAATGCGAAAAGCACCTTGTAGCAAGAAGCCTTTGAGGCAGTTGCATGATGGCACGATCAACAGGTGGATGCACCCATGAGACAGATTCAAGATTTACAGCATCACAAGAAGCTGTTGGCCAGGCATCCTGGATCGGTATTGCAAGCGCATCAAAGGACAGTTCGTCGATCCATGAGCAATCTTTTGTCCCTTCAAGCTGAAAACGAACAGATGCTAGGCCTGCCGACTGATTCTGTGTTGTGGCAGGAGAACAAAACGTGTACGGAAGAAAACTGGTGACGAGGTAGGGGACTGCATGTGATGCGCACAATGTGCTAGATTTGTTGGCAATCTCTGGGCAAGGCCATCCAGATGCAAAGACCTCTTCTGTGGGCGTGGGTGCAACTGTGGTGCGGGGCCCAGACACCACTGCTTTTAGTTGAGGAGGCTGCTTCTTGCTCTCAAGCCAGTCCCGGAAATGGATCGTTCCCCCGGGTGATCGAAGTGTCATTTCCGGCATGCTGGCAGTCAACAGATTAATGACATTTCAGCCTTACCGAACGGTTTATTCCAGTTTTAGGCTAGTATCTATTTGAAACCCCGGCCAGCCCACAGACATATTGAGTCCAGTAGGAAGCCAGTGCTGAAAATCGAAGGAAATCCAGCTTGCTCACGAAAGTGTCGACTCCCATACCCAGCCGGTCGTATCAATCGGTGAAAACCTAGCCTGTGCACAGGAAAGTAGATTCCAATATATATGAAGCTAATACTACACATAAATGAAAACTTCTGCCATAGTACCATTCATTGCTGCTTTCCTTTCAGCAAAGGGGGTTTCATGGAGGCAAAATGATACAGCCACAACCCCAACCCATGTCTTGCCTATGTGCTTTTGCTGAGCAAGTACGCTAGCTCATGCTGCGGGTGGCAAATAAAGGGTGCCTCTTAAGCATGCATACTTACCTTCGAACTGCCTTGGGCCTGACTTTGGGGTTGCCATGTTATCAATTTTAGGTTTAGAAGGACCAACACGCCCACGGGGTTGGGTCTCCAGAAAGGGGCTCAGCGGCTCAGCAAGGTTGCGAGTGCTGCTGTTGCTGCCAGCTGGACGAGATGCTCACAGAATTCATCGCACCATGTCCTGGTATGAATGATTAAGAGGCATACTGATGGAACGTGGAGGTGAAGGCTGATGTAAACCATGTCTAGACTCTACGCGCCTGCAGCTCGCCTTCAAGCGAAATCTGCTCAGCGAATAGACATCGGCACCAACTCCTTTGCTGTCTGAGATCAGTACGCACCGGATACTCGTGGAGCAGCGGGCAGCACAGCGCTACTGTCGCTGTACGGCGATGTGCCGGAGCCCTGTCCAAAGCTGGCAGCTGCAGGCCTCTGTGATATAGTTGGCAACGCTTCCGGGACGTTTCCCATTCGTCAGTCCTTCTTGCCAAGGAAAACTCCCAGCATCCGCGTCACATTTCTGGCACATAACCAGGCTCACAGTTGCATAGCTGCAGTGCTTGTGAAAAGTTGTCGAAGCAATCCTTCGATATTCGGAAGGCAAATCAGCAATTGCGACGGTAAGGGCTGGTATGGGGCTGTGCCAGAGCCTCTGTGCCTGGATAGTTGACGAGGTTTCAGCCGCAATACTGCTGATTTTGATGTGTGTTGGTACTGCTTGATTGATTCTGCCATGTGAAGCACTTGAAGAACGACAGATGGACATCACCTGGAATTCAATAATTGAGCGTCATTGTTCTCGGGGAAGACCCCGGAACCTGCGTTAGAGGCCGCCGCCTACGTGGGGTTGATGCCAGTGAAGGCCCTCACGCGCACGAAGATCCAGCAGGACTCCAAGCCAAACGTAAGAGGTACAGGCAGCTGTCTGCTTGTGGCAAACGCTGCTCACTTGTAGGGGCTTGAGATGCAGTGTGTGTCTTGCTACTGTGATCTTGTCCGACTGCGCATACATCAGTACGGAGTAGCAGTGAATAGCAGCAGCTACATTTGGTGCAGCATGCGGGGGAAGGGCAGCGGCAGTTGTAGCCTCGTCTCCCTCGAAGCATCGTTGAGAATGGAGCGTCGCCGCCAGTGTGGCAGAATAGTGCAAAGTCAAAGTGGCAGGACTTCACCATCAAGTTGCTGCAGCAGGGCGCGCGTGAATATCAGCAAGGCTGGGCCGGATTAGTCACGGGCAAGCATCCCATCGATGATTTCTTGATCAATTGCAAAAACAATGGTAATGTTTTTCAGACCGACAGTTGCAGCAGCAAGTCTCCCTGTACTTGCGAGGACTAATGCTGCATCAAAAGCCGCCCCCGGGCTGGATATGGCTGGATCCTGTCGAAGCTGCCCTAAGGGTTCTTTGCAGAGTTGCACCATGGCTACATATGCCTGTACAGCAAGGTACGTGATCGCTGGAAAGAAGGCCGTCAAGAAGCACTGGAGAGTAGCCATTTCAAATGGAGAAACCGACAAGCCCTTGCTTCGCCTCCAAGAGTTTACTCTGAGCAAGTCTCGTTCTAGCGTAGGGGTATTGCTAAGGCCTCATGCATCATTCAGCAGGAGGCTCTTGCTAGCATGCATTCGGCCAGGACTTGCCCATCAAACACAAGGTGTGGGTTCCACACATCAATATGACGCCTAGCTGCTTTTATGTTGTGCGTGCTAATCCCATGCCTCCAAGTATAAACCCTGTATGCTCTTGCTGTGCTGTTCGCATGGGGCACAGGGATTGCCCTGGCAGAATTTGGCACTCAGCGCGGCCTCAGGATCTTCGATATGTTGACACAGAAGGCCGCCTTCCATGACGATAGCTCAGGACCCGCCAGTGCCTGGAGTTCAACGAAGCTCTGAAGTCCACGCATGAGCACTAGATGTGGAACCACCAAAGCCTGTCAACTTGCTTGGTCACCAGGAGTTTCAGACGACGACTCGGAAGAAGAGGAGTTCTACGAACAGATGATGAAATGAAGGGGCTTTTTGATCGATGCTTTCATATGCAAGAGACAAAGTGTGCGCGGGCACGACTAAAAGAACGCATGCCAGCATGGCAGGTGCAGATGACACACTCGTTGCGCACATCCCACTCCGCGCTGCCAATAGAAAGTGCCCAATTAGGGGAGGCAGCTGCGTGCAGCGGCTGAAAGGAGTCACAGCCTTGCAAAGGCTTTCGAAGTTCATGTAGGGCAGGACATGAAGTCCTAATGCCCCACAACTTACCGGCTTTTGTGATGATCTGAACTTTTCAGGTATGCCCCGAGACACGCCTCAAAGCAGGATCCATCCAAACAGCCGGAAGACAAGAGTTAGCCCGGCCCGAAGACTCAGCCCTAAGGAAGGCGGTGTCGGGAAGCTGCTTGCCAAAAAAAACTTTCGGAGCAGCTGAGAACACCTCAACTCTTTGTGATAGCCGGCAAAAGTCCCCAAATCTGCCCTGTAAGACACTCTGTGGTGATCAGGTTGTCGTGGCACAGAGCCCAAAGCTGTACGAGGCCAGTGCATCAGGGCGTCTTTGTGGGGTGGAACCCGAGGGCTGGCCCTGGAGCCCTTCTGCTTGTTGGAGTGCCAGAGATGGATAGCAGCAGGGGTGTGGCTTGGGAGAGAACCAAAAGATACAATGGGCTTGTTTGAGCTTTGTCTTCATGCAGATGCTGGAAAGCCTGCCGCTGACGGAGCTGCCCAAGGCCCTGACATGAAGCTTGTTCGGATTTCGCCTTCGTCCGGCTGCGTTGTCTCCACTTGTGTGTGGCGTCAAACTTCAACTGTTTGCATACGCGATGGCCAGGAGAAAATTCGCGCTGCAGTCATTCGCGTGGATGAGCGCATCTCACAGGAGGCGAACGATACAAAGCAACCCCTGTGTTCGAAATGTGCTGCCGCATTGCCACATTCTCAGCAGGTCTGGCGAAGCATACTTCAGTTCATCTATCAAGGCTCAAGCGTTCACAACCTGGTCTATCTGGTCTCTATAGTGTACCATCTTCTGTGACTTGCACCCCCGATACAGGCACCATCCTTCAAGAGCAGTGCACCTACCTTCAAGATGTTGCAAAGCCTGGCTCTCAAGAAATCAGAGGGCAAGGAGACGGCTGAACCACAAGGAGACTTCTTGCCAGAGGTGTTTCGAGCTTCTCTTTGCCGTGCTGCTATTCCGCCTCCCAGAGCCCCTGCTCCGTTTGGCGCAGCACGCAGCTCAATCTGTGGAGCTCCTCACTTTCTTCGCTTTGACGGTGCAGTAACGTGCAGCCGCTCAGGCACTCTCTCTTCCTTCTGCTGCCCGTCAGTAACCCAACCTGGGCGCTCCAGGCTGGAATGAAAGTTGCAACTTGATACTTGGCAGCAAATTCAGATGCTTCATCCGAAGGTCTTTCAGCTGTGCTCAGAGAAGCAGCATTTCGAGAACCAGGACTTATGAGCTGGCTTGCTGCCAAACACCGAGTTCCTTTTCTCAGCTAAATTACTTGAACGAAATCAGCCCACTGACTTCCTTCCTCAAAGAGGCCCAGTACTCGTACCTGTGCCGCTCGACCGGATTTTTAGTAGGGCTTGATGTGTTGCTGCAAAGAAGCCTCTGAGTAGATGCAGGAGCTCAACCCGATCCGAGATGCTGCAGCTTGGGTCCTGCTGCATTCCGCGCAGGAGCCCTGGAGTGAGTATCAACTCGGGACGAGGTCCCTCACGAAACAATGCCTCCTGCATTTGAGGCCGAATCTGTTTCAGAGCATGGACGCCAAAAACGTATGCGAGACCTTGGAGAAAGTCGTGCTCCAGCTGCAGATGCCATCGATTTTTGATGGAAGGGATAGGAGGATACAAAAAGTACGGCTCGCTCCACTCAAACCTTCTTGTCGTCTTGTGCTCGATTGCTCACAGGTCCAGTCCATTGAGCGATCTGTTTTCGATCGCCCACGCTCCATGCCTCAGCTGGAGCCCAGGACGAGGGGTGTACATCTGTCTCTGTTTGAGCAGTGGCTTGAACGAGGCCCACGCAGCCAGCTGCTGTGGCGAAGCAGGACGGCTTGTGAAGGGCATCTTAGAATCTAGGCTTCTTGCTCGACAGCTGAAGTTGGAGTTTCTAGTTAAGGGGGCCTTGCGCAAATTTGGGTGGAGATGTTCGGAGACCTAGAGCTAGCCAGCTGCAAACTTCCGTGCCACTGTCCTGTCGCTGAGGAATGAACCCATAATAGTATCTGATTTGAGCATCTGCCCTAAGATTTGCCTCTCGTAGACTCGAAGAGCTGCAGGACCTGCTCGCAAACTCCTTGCAGGCAGTTCCGCAGGAGCCCGCTCGTTACTGGGAAAATACTGCATTGTTCCTTCATATTACGTTGCGCTAGAGGGGTATTAATGGCCGTCCAGCAACATCTGTGCCTGGAGATATGTGAGAGTCCGTTTCCTACCTCTAGCAGCGAGCATGTTACCAAAGCCATGCAACCAGAGACTCCATAGAAACATTCATCTGGACAGATAGGCGGTCCTCGATCCGGCTTGCTTCTCAGCATTACAGCGAACTCGTCAAGGCAAATGATAGTGGGGCCAGTACATCTGCAAGATGCTCTCCTCCCATGACCGCAAACCAAAGTCATGTGCAGCACGTCCTGGGAAGCAGCAAGCAAGCTGTGAAGCTGGCGACCAGTCCCAATCTCAACGGCAACAGCACCTCTTCGGCAAAGTGCCGCGGTCTCCACGGGGCCATCCTAAGCACACCTCATCTTTCATCCCGAAAAGGTTGGAGCCAGCCACGAGCAGATACTTTAGAAGGTAGGACGACCAAGACATGACTGGATCACAGATGTCAGGAAACAAACGTTTCAATCAGCGAGCCGTCACTGTGAGTTAACCAGACTTGTATAGAATCCCCATGTTCGGCTCGGCGTGACACCGCTCACCGTCTCTTTGTCCCCGCGCCGCCTGGCATACGTTGACTGACTGACTGACTGACTGACTGGCTGGCTGGCTGGCTGACTGACTGACTTGTCACAAGTCCAGCGATGCAATTGCCGAATTGAAGGACATGCTGGCCGCAAGCATGCGAGGAGTTCCGCAGGAGCCAACCTACGCACCTCGAAGAGCGTTCCATAGCGCCAGGTTGCAATTGCAGTCGGGGAGCATGGATTTTCAGAGCACGACTTCTTCTGATAGAAGTTCACCTGACTTGCTTGTGTCTGCATGTGTCGCAGGACCTCCTCTCTCAGACGCTGTGCGCCCGCCAAGCATGTGTGCTTTGATGAGGTTGTCTCTAAAAGGCAATGCAGAAAAGCATGAAAGTTTGTGTCTTCGAGGTCCCAAACGATGATGGGCTTCCCCGCTCAGGTGGGCACATTCTCAGAACTTTGCAAAGATGTACATGCAGCGTTGCCATGCGAAGGACGACCTACTCTCAAGAAGCATGATGGGAAATGTCGGGAACTCGGCAAGCGGCATCCTGCTTTTGTCAGGGGTGCTACAGCAGGGAACTGCTAGTTGGTAATTGCCGACTTGGTGTCAAATCTCCAGTGCTCAGGGCTTCAGTTCGTACAGTGGCCTTCAGTGCTAGCCTCAGCTTCTCTCAGTGCGAGTGACACAAGCATGTCATGGCTTGACTTGTTTCTTACCAGGCTTCCCATGCCATCCTTGCTTCATGTAGGAGGCAAGGTTTGAAGGGAACCTGACTTGTCACGAAAGCTGCAATAGCGCTCTTGGAGTCGGTAGCTCTCCATTACAGTAGGTCAGTTAATCTGTGCCTCCAGATCGATTTTCACGGCGTTTAATCAATTGTTAAGGGCTGGCCCCCTTAAATCTTGTTTTAATCAATGGCAAGCATCCCCCCTCCCCAAAAAGGCGTAAGAAGAATGTCGAAGAATTGACTAGGGCCCTTCCCCCTTCGCCTTCTGGTCCCCCCCCCTCTGCCTTGCACTGCAGCCTCTAGCTTTCGTGGCCCTCTTCTCGTGTCTTCTTAGCGCTGAGACGCGAGGGGGAGTTGCCCAGGTCCAAACTGAACGGGTTTGGCCACTGACTCAGACACTTTGCACATGCGCGGCACAGATTCTTGAGTTCCATTGAGTTCCTTCATGATTCAACAGCACGGCCATGCATGCTCGTACTGCCAGATGTTGCCGCTGCCATGTGCGTAGCCTGAGGTCCAGGCCTAGCGTGATCGGCTCTGCCAGCGACGTGCGGATCAAGAAGAATGCGCAAGTTGCTGCGTAGAAGCCGTAGGTTATAGCCCAGCTGCCTGCGTCCAGTTGGTGACGGGTCCAAATGATTGGGTCTTTACCGCCGCTTATTTTAGTAAGTTGGCAGTGTTAGCTAAAGTGACTCAGAACGCCAGGAGTTAGCCGAAGTGCTCAGAACTTGTGGAAGACTAGGCTTGCAAGAAAGCCTTTTCTTGACCACCAAACTTAATTCGATTAGGCGGGGGAATTCGGAACATTGGTTCTAAATTGTTTATGACTCCCTGTACCCTCGCGGTGGAGCTGCCTGGGGGCTGCGTTGAGTCCACACGGCCGGCAGCATCTCAGGAAGCCCCAGCTCGCTATGGTCAGACTAGGAATGACTTTCAAAAAATGCAAGCGCAGGTGCTAGACGCAAGTGCTGCCACTGTTTTGGAGTGTTCCCTTGGATTGTTGCAGATAACCTAGACTTTAGGTAAAGGTGCTGGGGGTACAAACCTGCGGATGCATACTTACAGACGCCGAGGGGTCCTTGGGCATCGCGGCATGCCCAGGTTCAGTTAAAGCATGACGGAAGCAGTGGGCCAGCGATGGAGGTCTTGTATGCCGGGTCACCCGCTTTTGCTTGACAGCTTGGAGGAATCTGTGAATTTTCCTTTCAAGCGCCGCAAGACTTGAAACTTTCAATGTCCCTTAAACCCTAAATTCCAAATAGTAGCTTCCATTTTCTTTTCCATTACCCAGTACCCTCCTGCAATGGATGTCGGAGAGGAGCCCACTCCAGAGTTTGGAGCTGCACGGCAGTTTGGAGAGGCTGAAGCTTCAGCACCGCAAGCCTGCAGCAACATAAGGTGCACTGCAGCCTTTCATGGTCAGTATACTAGCAGCCTGGCTTCAAATACACTGAGATCAAACTAGCTGAGATCAACCAAGAATTTAGTATATTTGGCCAGTGTCTCGACGCAATGTGTCAGCCCAGCCCTCGCAAAAGCCGCTTCTTTCGACGCAGCTCCGATGAGGCTTTACAGCCCCTCAAGCAGAGATCAAGGCTTATAAATGAGGGTTTCCTAAAATTAGGGGTACCTTACTGGGGTCCCCATAATAAGGACTATTTTATTTTGGGGTCTACATTGGGGTACCGCTATTTTGGGAAACTACCAAACAACTGTTAACTTACAACCCAATTCCAGGGGATTTGCAAATCACAGCTGATGGCAGTGGCCTGCGCTGGATTTTTTTTCTACATTGTTGACGGCCTTAAGGTTTGTACCTGTGCGGTCGGGGTCCCAAATACCAAGATTAAGTACTATAGTCCCCCTGAAGTAGATAGAATGTGGCTTCGGGTATATCATAATAAGATCCCCATATGTACCCCCTATTCTATCTACTTACGGGGGACTATATATTCCATGGCTTAGGGATCCAAACCCTAAGAGCAGATTAGCAACTCCCTTGCTTTGCCTTGGGCAGGTTTCGACACAGCAGGCCATGTCAGCTGCACCCAAGACCTTTGGGGTTATGTAGAGGTGTACAGGGACAATAGAGAATCAAGTTGACAAGCAAGTAGAAAATGATATGAAATTATTTTTTAGGGCGTCAGGTCTAGGGATATTACCCCAAGCAAAGGAGGCTTACTTGTGCGAATGCAAGCGATGTTGTGGACGTAGTATCATCGCATGTGATGCAGGAAGATGGAAGCTACTTCGTTATCTACGTCCTTTGGATTGTGCAGATCTGGCTCAAGTCATAAACAGTCTCCAACAGAGATAATTCTCTTCCAAGCTGCAAGACGTTGCGAGCGCCCCCTTTAGCAGATCTTATATCTAATGTGCGCACACTGCAGGTAAGATGTGGCAGATGAAGGCAACCACATGTTTTAGATCCGCGCTGTTCTCGGAGGTCAGGGTACTGTCCCGGACTGGCTGCTGTGACCAAAAGCAGCCACCCGTACCTAGTTTCGATCTCATTTTCCAATAGAATTTTCTAGTTCTCCATTGTAACTGCACAACTCTAAACTCGACAAACCCCTGCATAATCACAGTTTTCATGTCATGTTCCTGTTCTTTTCCATTTGCTTCTCGATTAGTACCCTAATCTCTAAGCCTACCTAACCCCGAACCATTGAGTCCTAAACTAAAAAAAACAAGTACTTTCCCATTTGTTTTTCCATTCCCCTATATAATATACCATTACATACCCATAGAGGTGTTGAATATATCAACAACTACTACACAACCCGGATATCCATTTCATTTTCTTTCCCATGTGTAAGCTATACATTATGAACCCCAGCTCCCATTTCATGTTCCATTCGATTGTTCATGTGGTTCCTTCTTTTTGGGGGGCAATATCCCTATGTATCTCTATATTACCCTGTATCAACCCTATACTACTCAGCCCCATGCCTCGGCCATGGCGACAGTGCAGCGAGCATGCGTGCAATGCGGCTTAGCTATGCTTAGCTGAGCCTTGGGAAGGGTCACATGTAAAGAGTTCTATATTGGGATATGTAGGAATGTATAGGGACATAGCCTCCTCGGGATATGGCCTATGCCAGATCTCAAGCAGTATTCCTGGGCGCAATGGAGGCACCCTGCTTTGCGACGACGCTTCCCGAAAGACCTGCGCCCTGTGTGGGGGCAGCTTGGCTTCCAAACCGGCCGGGCCAGCAGTGTCCTCAGGGTCGGGGCGATCCGGGTTCAGGCCGGGCGCTTGATTGTTAAGATGATGACAGACAAAGGGCAGGCAAGACGCCAGCTTTCTGCTGGATGTCTCCCTGGCCTTTTCTCAGCTCTCTGCACGTAGAATGCGTAGAAGTTGAACAGCTGCCCACGGCATGGTCATGCTTACTATGCCACGTTCTCCCACGCTGCCTACTGCCAGGTCCTTAAACTCTCCAGCTCCAGCTTGCATTGACCTCGACGACGATTCGCAGGGCGTTGAAGTTCAAGAGGACAAAGCAGGCATGACCTTCCGGCTATTTATTGGTGACAGTAGCCAGAACCAAGAGAAGTGCAGAAGCTTGATAAACCTTCCCTGCTTCAGGCCATGCACCAGCGCCTACGATGCCTGCGCAAACTCAGCGACGAAGCTGCCCTGCCTGTACCTTGATTTGTCCTGTCCTGAGCTTCCAAGGATGGGTTTCTGGGCTCCACCCCGCCAAAGGGAACAGAAAGCTGCAAGCTTGTTGTTGCGGCACAGTACAAATCAGCTGATCGTTTGTAGCTAAGCCACGAATAATCATGAGAAGTGCTGAGCCAATAGTTACATGCTGACCTTTTTCTTCCAGGTGGCATGAGGGCAAGGTTTCGACTTCGATGCGATTTGTATAAAATTTCGCATTGACTTGGCTGGTATTTATAGAAGCGTCTCGCGTCTTGCAGGAATCTCCCAATATAGGCCAAGGACCTCGGGAACAAACTCAGGTAAGGAGCATTCATGCTTGCTCTCATGCTCCAAAACTCGATCATCTTCAATGCGATCTAGGCAAAACCAGTATTTGCAACGACATGCCATGACCATTAGATACCATTAGTATTCGGGCTTTTGCGCTCTATAAAGAGGATTGATTGACACTTGGTCTGGATTGCAATGACCTGGGAGCCCCAAATTGGTGATTCTCTAGCCCAACCACAGACAGCATTTCTATGCTCCCCTTAGAACTTCAAAAGCACACAAATTTGCAACGCCCAACCCTAAACCCGCCGCGGGGCTTAACGAATTGTACTCCCAAATCCCTCAGAACGCCTTGCCAAAGCACCCCAAGCTCCCCCACCCCCCCTCCTCTCCCCAAAATCCTTTCTCTACTTTTAATTGTAGCATATCCCTAGCCCTCACACTTATTGTGCCCCCTAAAAATCCCTAGGTCCCTAAGTAAGTTTGCTTGTTGAGGCGAGGATCCTGCGCAAGAAAGCTGCGAGGCTTGTGGTGGACCGCTGCCCGGTGAGCCGCAGAGGCCGTGCAAAGAGTTGGGAAGATCTGGGCCTTTCTCAGGGGTACCTTTAAATGGCTCATACGGGTATATAACGATATATAAGCATAGGGTTTAGGGTTAAGGGATTAGGGTTTAGGGCTTCCCCAAAATCAGGGGTGCCTTTTCGGTGGTCCCCAAACTAAGGACTGTAGTATTTTAGTGTTTGTCTTGGGTCCCTTCATTTTTAGAAAACGACCAGATTGCATACATACTCTCTAAGAATTAGGGCCCCTATAGACATTTTGCGTAGAGATTATGAACGTGACAGGGGTTACGCTACATGGTGTGTATGATCCTATTCATGGGCTCAATGGTATGGTCCCACGAGCTTCACAGAGATGGCACCTATTCAATTTGCCATCCCCGTCCGAAATTTCGAACGTGAGGTGTTCTTTAGTTGGTAATTTCCCAAAATAGGGGACCCCGATATGGACCCTAATATACCATAGTCCCTTGTTGTAGGGACCCTCAAAATGGTACCCCCAATTTTGGGAAACCTCCAGTTAGAAAAGACGAGAGCTCTCCCAGGCTTTCGTCTGGAAGCCAGCTCTGACGATCTGCCCTAAGCAGGTGTGGGAGGTGGAACCCCAAAATGTGGTCAAATTTGGTTGCTTTCCCAATGTTTTTGAGGAGTGGCCTGGTGGTCTCCGAAACCGGCCATTCAGGAGGGTTGGTTGGCACCGCTTCCGGGCAGGGAAGCACACACTTTCTGATGCAGCTGATGCCTGGCCGGGGGCCGCCATGCGGCATGTTCTGGGCGCGGCGGATGGCGTATTTTGGCAGAGACTGGCATGTCCAACTGCAGCCGCACCAGTTCGGGTTAGCTTGCAGCGGGTTGCGCACTCAGTTTCAGTTCGATGCCTTTTAACAAATTACCTTCACATGCATGCTGCACGCCTGCCCAGGGCCTGCTCCTGCCTCCCGCTTCCAAGCTTTCGTCCCCACCCCCCCTCGGCGCAAGTTCTATGCAAGGGAGACTGCACAGTCAGCCCCAGACTGGCAGCATCAACTGAAGTCTGACGTTCCTCTACATGACCAGGAAGAAAACTGGAGGCCAAAGCTTGTAGCATGTGCAGCCGGTGGATCATTGAATGTGGTTGTGGCGGGGTTTACTTAGTCAGGGTTAGTAGCGAACAAGTGAGGATATTCTGAAGGGATTATATACCCTCATTCCCTACCAGCCACCAGGGAGTCAAGCCTGTCGGGATTTACCTGGGGGCTTCAAGTTGAGGATCGCCGCTTAGAATTTGGCCTGGGTGCCAAGTTACAGCTTTGGCTCGTGTATTGTCAGTCCTCGGATATCATGTGGCCAAGGGGCCCCATGCTGTGGCATTTTTCCATTTAGACGGCTCCCAAGTCTTTGCCTTGATGTGCGCAGCTGAATGGCAAGAAGATGCAGCCACCTGAGGCCCATGTAGGATTCCTCCGAGGCACCTGGGGACTACGTAGCAAACGCATGATCAAATGCATGGAAGAACCTGTCAGGAAGCGGGCAAAGAGCAGCCCGCAGCAGCTCACTCCAGCCCAACAGGCCATCCTCTTGAGATCACTTCTGGCTACCTGCAATGGCTGGACTTGATGAATTCCAAGGATTAAGAACTAACAATTTGTCGACCTTTCACTAAAGCACATGAGTCCCGCTAGGCATGGAATTTCTGCCACATGCGCAGTGCAGCTCAACAATTCTTGTCAGACTTCTGGGCTCGCCACCTTCTTTCGAAAGAAGATGCCGGAATGCCAAGGCTCCAGCATTCGTTTTGACGGGTTTTCCTCATGCGTAGCCGCATAGCACTTTGGTGTGGAACATTGAGTTCAAGAGCGAACATCCTGCCTAAGGCTTCTGCGGCTGCAAGGTACTGAAAGCTATACTGTCCTTTGCAGCAGCCACCTCAACATATGTTGCGTATTGCGCTCTGATCTCAGGCAGTCCGGATCCTCCCTTGCCACCGCCGCCAGAGCCGCCTCCAGGAGAACCAGCCGCAGCAACCGCCTCGCATGCAGAGGCCAACAAAATCTCACTGGCTACGTGACTAGTTTGCACACTGTCCTGCTTGGAACCCTCATGCTTGATTAGGGTCCTTACTTGAATCATCTTGAATCTACGGCACATCATTCGTGGCCTTCAACCACACCAGCACGTAGCTCCATCTCTGGGGCTGTCTTGTTTCATGAAATCTGAGCCTTTCTCGGGCCACCAAAGAGCCGAGGTAAAGTCCTGGGAATGAAAAAGCATTCCACAAATCATGCTCAACAAGCTGACCTGGTTCAAGGAGGTTCAAGAAACATCCGCTGACTCTCTTTAGGGCAAGAATCTCATTTGGTAGTTTCTCCAAATAGGGGGAACCCAATATAGACACCAAAAAATATTATGATCCTTTTTATGGGGACCCCCAAGAAGGTACCCCTAATTTTGGTAACACTATGAATGCTACTGGAATTGCCTTCCTCACCTCGCGTGGGCTCTCCTGGCGTGGGCTTCTGTTAGCTAGGAAATGAAGGAACGGATCCTTATGGTAGTCCCTATATAACCCATTATAGTAGTTTCCATTTTCTTTTCCATTCCTCCTTAACCTTAAACCCTAAATAGTAATGTCCACTTTCTTCTCCATTCCTCCTAAACCCTAAACAGTAGTTTCCATATTCTTTTCCATTCCTCCTAAGTTCTTTTCCATTCCTTCATTCGGCCAGTTCTGCCAGGCATCCACCTGGTCTGCCAGTGTGGCAGCCACAGCCATGGCCATGGGATGCGGTGACTTCAAGCCGGCGCGCTACAAGGGCTTCAGAATTTGTTCGTTATTTATCATTATCATTAGTCCAATGATTCTTATTTAGTAATATTAGACTTATTACTATCAGACATATTGTTACTGTTACTGCTATTACTGTTATAAATACTAGTATTATTGTAGTTGTTAGCTTTTTCAGTACTTTGCATAATGAACTTTGACCTATTTCTGGAGCTTGCGAGTATTGGGCCTGCTCACTTTCTGAAGCTGCTGACTGTTGTAGGGTGCAATGAGCCCTGAGGGATGATAAGCATCCATATGAGTCATACTCTAAACTCCTTAAAGGGAGGGATATATAGGAGATTATATAGGGTATGGTTATAGGGCTTTTTAAGGGGGATACTAAGAGTTTAGACTATGGCTCATTTTGGGTGGCTAGGGTCCAAAGCTCCACGTCCTGAGCCTATTGGATGAAGGGAGCATCAGCAGCGCATTCTCCTCGGTGAACGCGCATGACAGAACGGCTGCTTGTGTGGTAAACAGCCCTGTGGCAGGATAGCATGGCTGGCTGCAACTTGGCCCGCAGCGCAGTCATCATTTGCAGTTCCCAGAGTTGTTGCGAAATGCTCCGATGCGTCTCCTTAGATAAGGCTGGTCGAAGAAAGGAGCAGCAGTGCCGTACCGCCACCTTGCGGCAGCCCTCGATGTCATATTCTCAGAACCGAAGGTTCTTTGCTCTTTGTTATGAGCGTCTGATAATATCTGTATGCACATCTCGCGGACTCTTCAAATTTCCTGTCAGGCACTGGAAGCAACGCGGAGTCGTCTGACCAAGGAGACTGGTTAACATACTCATTTGATCTGTTTGATGCTTATGAATGAATGTCTCAAGCAGGAAAGCACCCTGCTTCAGCTTCAAAAATCCGCAGCTTTCAAACCGCGTGGCAGGATGCCATTCTTACCAACGCCTTCCGGGTTATGTTATCACAATCAGCACCCGCCGAAGAGGCTGCCCGCCACCCCTGCAAAGGGGCTTTGCGCATACCAGAAGACGGGCACAGTTCTAGAGCAGAGGAAGAAGCGTTTCATTGGACCTGGCATACAAATGGCCGTGCTAGGTGGAAGCCGCCTGCTATCTCTTTGCCCCGGCGAAGGATGCACAAGCTGGCGGTCACAGGCGCACTGTCATGATCGAGAGGCTTACGAGGCTTGCGACTTCTTGCATGTTTTCGACGCTTGGTAGGCTGCGGCCAGACTGGGTGGAAGGAGGGAGACCCCTCAGCATTCCGCACAAGTCCATTACGGCCGCTTGAACTTGTTGGCAGTCATGCCACAGTGCCCTGCATGCTGGTGATGACTGTCGAAGCTTCAGCAGCACCAGCGAAGAACCTCTTCACTGGTCAGTGTCAATTGGAGCCTGCCCCTTCAATGCAGAAAGCGTGACCTCCTGAGGCTTCACTGCTGGAGGCAACAGGCGCCTCGAAGGACAGATGCGGCTACTCTCTAATGCCCTGATCAGATTCCAGTTGAACAAGGGTCCGCTTTCAGGGCCTCCAGGAATGAAATGCCAAGTCTAGTTGGAATTGGAAGTCCAGGTGCTTCAAGTCTACTGTTGTCTTGGGACATGTCTGGACCTATGCACAGGCTGAGATGAATCGCAGGGTGCCCGGAATTGCAGTGAAGTCTGCCGGGTAGAAGGTGCAAACCTTAACATCCTGAACAAGCCTGGTGAATCCAGCAGCCATATGGCATAAAGCGCAGAAGAAGATTGTGCCCAGCATTGGCTCAAGACTGCGCAGCAGCAACTGAGGTCTGTATAACGAACTTCACGAAATTGGCGAAGCGAGTGTCTCAGATCCTTTCAGTGCAGCTCCACACTGCTTCAGCTGGTGTGCTACAGCTCGGCTGCAGCCCCACAACTTCAATCTCGACATATTCTCCACTCAGTCTATCTACTTTGCTTCCACCGAAGGTTGCCTTAGCACTGCGGGAACGCGGTGGCAAGCAGCGGCTCCTCCGTGCACCGCCGCCTTTGACGGTCCGCTGCCGGGCAAATGGACACATACTGTAGCTTGAACAGATGTGGAATGTGTGGAGTACTGAAGAACCCTCATAGCAGCGAATGGGCTATTGCTCCAAGTGGCTGACGTGCTGGACAGCTGGAAGCCCTGCACAGTTTAAATACAATGAGCATGTTGAAGAAGGCGGGCGCAGTGCGGCGCACGCTGCTGAGCCTCGCAGATCTACAGGGTACAGGCGACTGGTTGACAGTTCGTGATGTTGTGAGAGGGGCCTACATGCAATATGAGGCGTGGAGAAGGCCAAAACCACTCGACTGGTCGGCCTGCTACGGGCGGCTGAAGGCATCTGCCAACAACATCCAGTCGAGTCAGATGGTAGTTTCCTAAAATAGGGGACCCCAATATAGACTCCAAGATACTATAATCCCTATTAATTATGGGACCCCCCAAAAAGGTACCCCTGATTTGGGGAATCCCCCATATCCAGCTCTTGGCTTTTTAGCTCCGGCCGCCTTTAGCCAGGCACTGAGCTGAAGTGGTTGGTGCGGACCTTCCTTCCGCACATGGCAGCAGCCTGGCTGACAACAGAGTCTCGTGGTTTAGGGGTTTAAGGTTTAGGGTGATGCCCATCAATCTACTCGGTTCTGATTCTTGTGACTGCGCGATTGCCTGCCGCGACAGATTTCACAGCAGGCCGGCTAGCTTGGCAGGTAGGGGGATGTTGCCGCTCTAAAGGCTGGGGTGTCACTGGAGTCCTCGGTGCTCCCAGCGCTGGGCGCTGCGGCAGCCATGGCAGCGGGTGCCTTGACCCGCAATATGATAACTAGAGACCCGAGGACTGCAGAGTTGCCAAGCAGCTGCGATCCACATGAACAACCTGCTCTGCTTTGGCCCGGCTCATGCAGCCTGACGTGCACATCTTGCACATCAACCGGCGTTGAAGCACCATGCGGATCCGAAGCAGACCTGAAGTTCCGCATAGCCTTGAAAGGCCGATTGCTGACCCCCGACAGCTTAGCAACAAGGGACTGATGTCCACCCGCGAACACTGCGAACACAAAGCCTTGCTCCGCCATGAGCGCTCGCCTCACAGAGCTGCTGAATGGAGCTGCCGCCGCCACGGCACTGGGCGTGGCCAGCCGCAGCGGTCGGTGGCCTCAGATGGGAAGGGAGCGGTTCCCTGTGCTTGTGCCCGGTTTTTTTTGGCAGTCAACGACAGCCCACAGCAGCTTTGTTTCTGGCAAGGGGGCCTTCACAACCATGCTTTATGTTAAACATGCGTGTGTGTGTTCGTTTCGTTTGCGCCGTCTGTTGCAACACTGCACCCAGTGGATGCATCCAGCCGCAGCACGCTGCCGCAGTTTGAAACGAACCTTGGGCAAATTGAAATGTAGACCAAACAAGCAGAGGTTTGCTGCCAAAGCTCGGCACCGCCTGGGCCTTGGCAGAAACGGCTTCCCGAAAAGCTCAGTTGACATCTTGTAAGTCCTTGTTGCTGTTGTCTCAAGGCGCCCCAGACGCTTGGCGCCATTGCAGAATCTGCCGGACTGAACCAGAGATATGTGGAGGCACGCCATGCTGGAACATTTGCACCCATCATATCAGAATTACAATGTTTCCACCGTTTCCGTGCTAAAGGAGATTCTCGCCATCCTCGCGTGCAGCAAGATCGTGAATCTGTCTGAGGACTCATCCTACAAGACACGGGCTATGAGCAGGGGACTCCAGTTTTCCGCAAGAGAGACAACCATTGCATCAAAAATTCCCGACCTTGCCCATGATCTTGTGCACCGCTTCGTCCAGGAGTCGCCGCCTAGATACCACATATCGGAAGAGACCAAGTCTGCCTGGCACTTGGAACCGTGCAGCGGTCAACATTATGCAGATTCCGGCGGACTGTCTCCCTTGATAGCGTGTGCACCTCTGAGACCGCGCTGAAAGGCCCTGGATGGCATGGGCCTGTACTTCGAGGCCTTTCGAGGAACTTTTTGCAAGGAAAGGGGTGGCGTGGTGGCCTTTTCCAGGAGCTGCCGCTCCTGACAAGATGTGCCTTCGATGAGGCCAATTTTTGCCTCTGCCTTGCTGGTGGCACTCCAAAAGGGACCCTGCCGTTTCCTTGCAATAGCCATATTTCTCTAAAGCATCCCTAGGTTGCCGGGGTTGAGCAAGCCAAGCGGCAATAAAACAAGTAGCACCGCAAGAACCACAACCACCTGGCTGACTAGCAACCACTGGGTTAAGTCAACTCGGAGCTTACTGTCACGCTTCTTACCAACTACGTGATGCTACCTACTCTTCCAGCTGGCAACCCACAAGGAAAGATGTGCAGAAGCATGATCATCTCGGATTCCTGCCAGTCCAATGATCCAGCAGCATCAGGTGGTTGAGGCCACACGACGAGGGGGAGGAGTCCCGCTCCTTGAAAAGCAACCAGGTAATCTCGGTATGAGGCGGGCTCCAAGCCTTGCTTCAAGCTTTGTCTTGCAGGATTGAAGGGCAACATGCTCCATCATCCTATCTAAGCAGTTCAGAGCACCACGTTGGCAGCGAAGCTTCTGCTAAGCTGGATAAGGCCTGACCGTTATGGGCCCTTCGGCGCCTGGATGGGCCCGGGCCTCGACCGATGCATCGGATGCAGCTATGTGATGAAAGACAGCCCCTGTCTCACTCATCACAGTCTGTCAACAGCGGGCATGTCTTCGAATGTTCAAAAAGGAACGTTGGCGGATGGCAAGCACGAGAAGCTGCTGGTCCCGAAGCTTCTGCCTTCACTCGCAGGCCTGTCCGGGTGCCACTCACGCATACCGCTGCGATCAATGCTTCAGGACTTGATGGCCTTGCATGTGATTGTAGTTGGCCCGGAGCAGCTGCGCAGCCTGCAATATCCTGTGCAATGTGTTTGCGCCCTTGACTACTGGTCACTTCCAGATACTTCCAGTATGTGTTTGCACAGGCCACAGCCATGCTACAGCTGCTGTGACATGGTCATCATTGTGGTGGCTACCATTGTCAAGAGAAGTTAGTGTTTTGACATCATTACAAGCAATTTGCAATTGGTTGATAAAAAAACATCTGTCAGGTGGTGAGATCGTGAAGAAGCTGGAAGCTGGCAAGGTGCCTTTACAGTCAGCGGACGTGATTCGCTGATTGAATGGCTTTAGGACCGTATCATCTTAGCAGCTAAGATTTACCTACAGACCATCGACCCAGCCACCACAAGCACCACCACTACAGCCGCTGCCACCAATGCCGTTGTCGTCTTTTGCTGCTGCTACTGCCGCCGCCGTTGCCACTGCCACTGCCACTACCACTACTTCTGCTGAGACTACTGTTGCTGCCCAAAAGAAGTATCAATGTCATTGCAGTTGGACACTGCGCAGGCGAAGGTCCTGGACTTAGGCTGCGGGGAGGGTACCGCGCCATGCTTGAAGCTTGGCAAGCAACGTAAAAGCAACGTTCTGGCGAAGACTCCAAGCAAGCTTGAAGTAGGAACCCTCTGCACTGCACAGTGTTTGCACTGCCCTGCAATCTCGATGGAAGCAAGGATTGCGAAACACTTTCCCAACGCACAGGTTTTTGGGCCACCTGGATGCATCTCAGTTGGAGCTTCTGTCAAAGCCCAACAGCGACAGCCGGAATAGCTCCAAAAGTTCACTGAACCAGGATTGATGCTTGGGCACCATCCGTTGAAGCAGCCAGAAAGAAGGCTGGATGAAAGCTGGGTGCGGTGAAGGATGCCAATAAGCTGTGCCTGTGTGAATTCCAGTTCCCATCGCATGATCAGATACTGGCAGGCCGCAGCGTCGAGCTTGCCCAACGCAACGTTTGTATGCCGACCACTCACTGGGGTTCTTCATAAGGAAGATTTCAGGCAGAGCATTTGTTCAACGGAATGTGCTGCTGTGGAACTTGTGGAAAATTGCTTTGTTAGGTGGTGATGCAGCAGATTTTGGTGATAATGGCAATTGGACGGGGCAGTTCGATTTGGACGCTGGGCAGAACGGAGAGACCTCCGAGCCACCCTGCAGCTTTTGTAATGCAAACTCCATCATCCAGCTGGCTCAGGTCACGAGCTTCGATGTCATCCACGACTTGACAAAGCCCGAAGCAACCTTGCGTGAGTGTAAGCGGGTCCTGAAGGTCAGGGAGCTGGCGGACATGAGCTTGGCAGAAGAAGGAAGAACTGAAATTCCTCAGCGAAACTACTTCATGTTGGTGTACCTCGGGTTGTACTGCCATAGCAGGCCGACGGCTATTTCGCTATGGTTGATATCCGAGCTGAGACAGGCAGGCCCCATGTGATGGGCTTGAAGAAAAGTTCTGACTTGCTAAAGCAGCTGCGGGAGGAGTTGCCAAAAACATTGCCCATCCTATGGCGCCCTTCCTGTACGCCATATCACTGAAACCTGGCAGGACTGGCAGCGGATTCTTAGCAGGGCAGATGTTTCTTCCGTTGTTTTTTAAGATGCCATCATTGCTTCGGACTTCACGTATTTGTATATCACATATGAGTACAACACTACCCTAACCCTAAACCCTAAACCTTGACGTCTTGCCCTAGCTGAGGATGCATTGCATGCCCCAAGGGATGAATGATGGTGGTCCTGGGCTGGGTACCATGGCTTCAATATAGGGATGTGTATATGCATACGATTATACATGAGTATATATATATATATACGTATAGTTCTATACATATATGTGTGTATATGTATGTCTGTGTATATGCAGATATGTACGTATAGACATACGTATGTATATAGAAAGGGCTACACGGATGTATAGGGACATGTAGAGGCATATAGGCATGCACAGGGGATACTAAAATCCATAACAATGGAGAATCAAATCGAAGAAAATTAAATGCAAGCTACTGTTCAAGACACTGCCGGAGATGAGTGTAAATATAACCCACTATTTTAGTTTCCATGTTCTTTTCCACTATCCCCCATATAACCCGAATATTACCCTAATAGGGCAAATATGAAGACTTGCAGGGATTCAGCGTGCTCTGTGGTGAATCTTGCATCCGGCAGCATTAAGGCATGATGTGGGGCCGTGAGAAAGCCCTCTCACTGCTAAAGGACGCAGGATTTCTACCAGAGGCGCGGCTGACCAAAGTTGATCTTCGCAGGTCTAGTAGCAGTGTGGAAACATGGTGCTGCGAGTGCACAAGAATCACTAGAAAGCTTAAGCTATCCAGAGGTTATTGAGATGGAGTTTGACACGTTCAATGACTGCTACCTGTGCCGGCCGATGCCCAGCAAGTGAGCCTAGATGAGCCTAGGGATAAGCATCAACTCCAAAGATGCGCCACTCCAAAGAGAAGCGGCGCTGGGACCTGGTGCGAACCTGGCTTCGGTCAAAGCACAGGCATCATGTGCTGTCATGATCACGGATAAGGCGCTCGATACTTCTCCTGTTTTGCGACTTTTGTTTGTAAAACTGTCCTTCTGCAAAGATAGTCGTGTGCCAAGGTGCAAGTGCCGATGCGGTGCGCTCGGCCCAAGAAGAGGCATGGTCAGCGTCAAGTTGTGAGATGGGCGAGCATTCAATAGAGCCATCTCCCACAAGGCAGATTATCTTTCCGCAGTAGAGCTGCGCCATGCTGCGCCTGCATGCCCAGAGGTGCGCCATGGCTATGCCTTGCGGCCAGACGTGCGGGCACTAGTGGAGGCCTTGCTGGAGGATGGCATCCAGGCCGTTCCTCTTCCAGATGGCTCTATGCCTGCTGCAAGCACCGCTGCTGGTATTCGTGTTCGCTGCAGGGGGTCAAAAGACGGTGCACGCTCACAATGGGCGTGCCTATGCAGCCAATGTTGGCAAAGGCCAGGCCCCTGAACCTGACTTCTTGTTCAAGACCCGAGCTCCGCTTCTGCCTTGCAGGCCACCACTACCATACTTGAGCTCTTGAAGCGAATCCTGGGATCAATGCCGCAGAAGGCTTGAAGCATAGAGAGTTCCACTCTTCAGCGACGGCCCGATATGAGTATAGGTCAGTGAGATGCGGAAGTGCATGTGGCACTCTGCAGGTTGGTGGTCCGGCGATGTTGTCTGCCGAGTTCAAGTGCCTGGGCGAATGGACCAGGATGACACACACTGCATTGCGTCTCTTGTTGAGGGACTTCGACAGTTCAGGGTAAAGGGTTAGAGATTCTGGTGAGGGGCGGCAGTTTGAGGCTGTTGAGGGTCTCTGGTTGAGTTGAGGGAGACTTGGGTCGGGAGGAAGGAAGCGTTAAGTTTGGGTGAGGAACAGAAGGTAGCAAGGCTTCTCCCTGGGGCTTCTCCATTTTTCTCCTTTCCCTGCATTTTATAGCTCTTGAGATTAAAGTCCTACGCGACCATAGTATATGTTAAATCCATCATTCTCAAGCTATAAGGTACTTAGGGTCATGCAGGATTTTTGGTATCCACCGTAGTCTTGAAGCATCAGGGAAACCAGAAGGAAAACCTGCATGAGGTATGATGGGCAGCGTGCACAGATCCACATTCTTCCTGACAGCCGCGCATCTCAGAGCTTTCAAAGAGGAGATCAGCATCTGGAGAAAAATCCAACTCACACAGGCAGTGTCAAGATCTTCTCGCGGAAGCTGGACGACATGACATACAAGCGGCTTGACCATGAAGCCATGGACCAGCTGTTCTCTTGCAAGAATACACGGAGTTTGCACGGGCAACGTAAGAAGGAGAAACAGGCAAATTGCCGATTGATGGATCTTGCTTTCTGAGGTATCCTGACGTTGTCAAAGCTATCCTGCGATCCTCCAGGGTGCAAAAGCCCTGCGTGTTGGATGCCGAGATCGCAGCTTGTCAGGGTTCAGCTTCTCAGGCTTGAGGATTCATGGCTCTTGTCGCCAGATTTTGTCAGCTGTACAACTTGTTGGATGCCTCAAAGTCTAAGGTGGCCGTCGTGCCCAAGGATAAAAAAGCAGATGCAGCAAATCAGGCTCGGAGCTTGCCATGTGCAACATGTTTTGTTTCAAGCAGCTACCCGTTCAGGGAGAGGAGGGTGGCGCAGAGCCAGAAAGAAAGGATGCCGGCAAAGTAGAAATTGCAGTTCCTTGCCACATTTGAGGCCCAACAAAATTATGGTTTCCTATGCCAGCAGAAAAATTGGAGACATGCTGGGCAATAGAATGTTGCACATAGAAAGATACTCCCAAGTAAGGCTTTCCAGTCGCTGTCCACCCGGAAGCGGAAGAGGCTTGGTTGGCATGTGGCCAAGCAGCGAAAGCAAGCATTTGTCCCTCGCAGATTAAATGCGTGGTGGTCAAAATTATTGAGCTGAACTCAACTCCGAGGAACGTCACAGAAGCCAATGCAGCGACTTCCTCCGTGGCAGCCACGCAGTTGCAGGGGAGTTCATGCTGGGTGACACAGAATAACACAGAAGTAGGTCAACTATATTCGCCTCTGGATGTTGCCTTGGCACATGTGTTTTCTAGGGCTTGTGGCCACAATGGTAGGGTTGCTTTTCAGAAGCAATGCTGCGAAGCCTCATCTTGGAGGTCAAAGTCTTCCTTTTCGATCTCCTCTTCCTTGGCGAGGCCATCATGTTACTGGTCTGGTAGACGGGGGCGTAGCGCAACTCTTGGAAGGAGCCTTTGATTTCTCATCCCTTCCAGCAGCGACGAGCCAAAATGCGCGAAAGCTTCGCGGAAGTGGAGGACTTTGGTAGGTTCAGGGATGTGCGGGATTGCGGTTCTGGGAAGTGTGCTGCTTAGCAGTCAAACTGGTCAGAGAGCCTAGATCCTTGAGTTGAGCTGTTCAAGTGTTCAAGGCGTTCTGGGGTGCCAGGACATGGTTGCATATGCCGAAGCAGAAGATCTTGAGGCGGGTTTGCTTCACAGTCCTGTTCACATCAGGATTCCCTTTCAGACTTCGAGCAAGAAGTCGCCCCATCTGCCCCTGCCATCATGTATGTCCCGCCATGCTTCGAAATGCTCAGGGCGTGCCTGAAAGAGCTGAAGCGATTTTGGAGGACACTGGGAAGCCTTCCGCATTCAGCCTGCATCTGTAACAAACAAAGTTCAATAAAGTGTTGAGATCCGTGGCTTCTGGACTGAGAGCAGCACTGCAGCAGTGCGTCAAAAGCAGTTCAAAATTTGACTTGAGCTTGTCGGGGCATGTCAAGTGAGCAGGTTAATCGTCCTTATCCCATGCATCGCACGTGCTTACAAGAGCCGGTGCAGCTTCACAATGACAATTGTGCAGGCCGCATTGCGACGCTCAGTGGCAATGTCATGCGAAGGGTTGATGGAGCCTGGTCTGCAGTCTATGGTGGCACCTTTGGACTTGGGCTCTGTGCAAGCCGTACAGATAGGCATACAATCTCACGGCTCACAATCGCTTTGCAATGAGGTCAAGCATTTGGACTCGGCCTACGAGCCTTCCACGAAGAGATCGGACTGCTGGCTAAAGCTGAAGAAGGTGCCTGAGCTGAATGGTCAACAACCATAACCTACTGCCAATGTGGAAGAGCCACACTCCAACGCAGGTAGTCAACGACTTACTGTGGTAGCAATGTCAATTACACAGCCCTTAGCATCTGCTGAAAATGTCATCTGAGGACTACGTGGAGAGCATGGGTGATTCATTAGATTTGTTTCTTGGCTTTTGACAGCCAGCCTTTTGGAGGGCCCTTTTAGTCACAGTTTCCTTGGCCGAAATAGCTTCCGAGAGTCATGCTCACAGATGTATTTGACGGGCATTTGTGCAGAAGGATTCCAATTGGTGGCTGGCGTGGCAGTGGCCGCAAGTCGCGCTGGGTGTCACCGTGGCTTCTGGCCACGCCACGTGCCTGCAGAGCTGAGCCATCCTCTGTTCACGCAGTTCACGCACCAGAACTGGAGATGGTGATGGCCTGAGGTATGACCCTGAGGAGGGCACGCTTGGCTCAGTTTGCCGAGTAATGTCCGGATTCAGTGACAAGTTCTACAAGGCCACGAACTGTCCCTGCTGCTATGCTCAGGTATGTTCAGATACCCCTTGGGTTGGGACCATGGTTGGGAGGGGCTGGGTTGAAGAGCACAGGCCAGAATTGTGGAAGGTGACCTTGCAATCAGGTTGCATGCCCCAAAACGCAGCTTCGCCTGGAGGAGAACACCATTCGATACCTGGGCCGCGAGCTTGAAGTGCGTAAGGCTGCGGAGGAGCAGGAAGCAGCCGGAGGTCGGGATTAATGACCTGACATGACATGACTGTAGCTTCTCATCACCAGAAACTGGCATTTTGCGATGCCGATGAGGGAGAGGAGATTTGAAAACACTTTCGTGAGAATCAAGAACAGAACGGCACGTACCGCCCGCCAAAACCTAATGGCATCATGCTTTTCAGCCACAGGATATCCTCACAATGTCCTCCAAATTCGGGAAAGCGAGTTGTCGCTAGTGCGTCGCACAGCATGCCCATTCATGCTTGATGTATAGTAGCACGATATGCCCACGGCCCAACTAGAACAGTCTTGTCAGGTGGTGGACCAGCAAATGAAGAGGAAGAGGATGCTGAGGAGGCTACTTTGAAAGGTATGTTTCTCTTTCTGGGCTCAGAATTCTTGGCGGGAGACTTTATTAGTGAGCCCGCAGAACGGAGGTCAGGTTCTCGTGTGGTGTAGATCACCGAGTTGGCATGGCACAGCAGCAGGTGGAGAGCCTCGAAAGCGAAGCTGCAGAGGCCGAGGCGGGATAGCTGCTGCAACAGCTGCGACATATAATAAAGATGAAGTTGCTAGACGGGTATGCCAACTCCTTCTTTGCTGATGGAGAAGGCCTGTGTATCTTGTGCGGTCGCATTCTGCTGAAGTCAATACTGACAGGATGAGGACCTACTCTCGGGCAAGTCAGGCCGGTTGCTGGGAGCTTCCGTGCAACTATCTACAGCTCCCAGGGTTACAGCAGTATTCGTGCCAGAAAAGAAGTCTTGCGGCCACGCACGTTTGCAACGAAGTGGTAAGAACACACTCAACCATGGAGAGGGCTGCTGTACTATTTCCAGACAGTCAGTAGCATGTGTTCTGCGGTCATGATAGCTCAACTGCGAGCGTACGCAAGGCTCATCTGGGCTGCAGCTGAAGTCCAAGGCATCTCTCGGAATGCTTGCAATCTCTGGATGATCTGATCATTAGACTTAGACCTTGTTTTGCGATAATTTCCAGAGTTGCAAGAAGCCCAACCTCCGTAGTTGGCCAGGCACAAGGGGTGGAGACGCTGGAGCAGGCACAGTTCTGGTTCCAGCCCTGCGCCCCTGGGCTATTCAGTCATCACGCGAGCTTTCAGTCACCATCTTGCAAACATAGCTACGCTGCGTGCAACACCAGCAGAACTCGATCAACAAGAGTGCAAAGTTTAGTGCTCCTCAGTAAGACTGGTTCTCTTGTGTGTTGGGCATGCCCTTGCAATACCACTGAAAGCGGTGTGAAATCAGACGCCGTCACTAGCAAGATGCGGCTGCGCGAAGTGCAGGTGCATTCAACTCGTCGGAGCAAGTTCAACCTCATAAACTAGAAAAGCAGCAACTCACTTTGCGTGCATATTGGATTGCTGAGGAAGTTTGGGAGATTCGAGGTGCAGTGGCCGCCCCAGCCCGCGTGAGCATTTTTGTGATTCCCATAACCGTGTATGGTGCAGGCACCGGCATTCAGAGCACATGTTATATTTGCTGTGGATTACGCTTGCGTCAGTAATGACAATTCTTCTAGCACCAAGCTGATAACCACAAATGCATGCGGATCTTCATGTTTGTGCTCCACCGTAGCCATTTTTGGGTTACAGCTGGTGCACCCGCATCCAACACCAAAAAGGTTTAGTCTCAGCTGTGCTGCCATTTTTGTCTGCTCTTTGTGCTGCTTTTGTGCATCTTCACTTCAGGCATCATTGATTCTGCAGACAGGC